TTTACTTACTGTATCAAGTTTGAATCTTCATTACTACTACTTTTTTGGTAATATAAAATAAAGGGAATATAGTATAGTTTAAATTGGTTGCTCTGTTTTTAGTGAAGAAAATAGATACTCTGTTTTTTTATATATATTCTAGAGAGAGAAAGAGTGGTTTGGGAAGTTCTGCTGCTCTATTGTTTAATGGATAAAAGCTGTAATTCTTCTGGTGAGGGTGATTCTACTGCTACTTCAGCAAGTAGTAGTAGCAGTGGTAATAGAGATATGTATTTGAAGCACCTAAACAAAATCTCTCATAAGATCTCCAAACCCATTAGAAAACCTGCTTATTTTGAAAACCAGAATCCTCCACAGGCGCAGACCCAACACGCTCCACCGCCTATTCCTCCGCCTCCACCTCCACCAGCTGGGCCGCAAAATTTGCAGCAACAGCCGCAGCAACAGCCGCCGGTGTATAATATTAACAAGAGTGATTTTAGGGATGTTGTTCAGAAGCTTACGGGTTCCCCTGCTCATGAAAGGATTTCGACTCCTCCGCCTATACAACAACCCAAGGCTGCAAGTTCACGGTTGCAGAGGATCCGTCCTCCGCCACTTGCTCAGATTAGCAACCGCCCACCTCCGTTTGTGAATGTTTCTAATAACGCCGTTGCTGGTGGTGGTGGTGGTGGGTTTCTTGGCGGTCAACGGCCTGTTCAGGCACAGCCGTTATCTCCTCTCCCGCCGTTTCCGGCGGTGCATGCGTCGGCGGAATCGCCGATCTCCGCTTACATGAGGTTTCTACAGAGCTCAATTGGTTCTGCTTCGACTGATTCCGATAGCAAGCGATTCTCTACTGGGCTATCACCACTTGCTCCGCGGTGGAACAACTTTGGTACGCCGCAGCAGCAACCACCATTTCCGCCTCCTCAGACGCTTCCGCTGCCGCATCAACAGAACATTCCTCCGCCTCCAACAAACTCCTCCTTTGTTTTGCCACCGTTTCCAGCTTTTCCCTCATCGCCACTGCCATTTGGGTGTTTGCCGTCACCAAGATCGCCGTACGGCTTGCTGTCTCCCGGTCTTCTGCTTTCACCGTCCCGTCAACTAGGGTTTCAGCAGCTCCCTTTGTCGCCGACACTTCCAGTGGCAAGCCCCAAGTGGAAGGGTATTTGAGGAATTTCATATTAACATTAAAAAAAAGTAAGTCTTTTAGTAGTTTCTCAATTTTGTTTTTGTTTTTTATAATAGGAATATAGTTTATAATTTGTACATGTACATTTTGTGGGAATCATTGGATTATATTGAAAAGAGTAGAGTCTTTTATGCCCAAATATGATGTAGCTAGCTATTAAATAGCTAATTAGGGGTTTGATTTTTGTACATGAATGTTAAAAGGACAATGAAGAGAAGATATTTTTTGTTTGTTCATCCAGCTCTTCTTATCATCTTCATTGAGAAAATAATAATATACTGCATTCTTTGTGATCATCTTAGTTCGATCTTTAAGTTGCATTACTTTAGAATGGAATATAATGTTGATGTCTTGTGTTCGGTCTTGACTCTATCAAAGACATTCTTTCCTAGTGACATCGTGGTATTCAAGCAGCTCGTGCTAATCCGGACTCTATCAAATGTGTATCTCTTTCCATTGCCAAAGTGTATGCAAATAATTGTTGTAGTAGTGTAATCATTTTGAAGTGTCTGTTGTAGTATGAACGTTGTTTAATTGTAAAGATAAAAGTTGAATTAGGAGAGTGATTGAGTAATTCTTTTGGTTGATGATTTTATTATGAAAAGAGCAGAATATGTGGACCTGTGTGTTTCTAGTTTCTGATCTATTAATTTTGAACCTCCTTTTGACTGGCTGGTTTCAAAATCCTTCCTTTACGAGTAATGTTTTAGTGTGTGTGGTCATTGTAGTGGCCAGTGGGGCTAACTCCCATTCAAGGCTATGACTTATGACTCCCATGAGCCAATGTGAATCAATTATCTGGTTTAAACGCCAGCTTCTTTAAGGAACAAGCAATACCGAGATGAGTTTAAACGGAGCGAATGAGAATATTACACACTTTATTTTGATTATTTGAGATAGAGATGTAGTTGTTGTTGGACCACACTTTTTTTTTTCCTAGCGTTTCGCTGTAGATTTTGAAACAAAAATTGTTTGTTATCAATACATAATTATTGGCTATTACTTATAATTAATTACGAAGATTCCCAAAAGCAATGCGCCAAAAACTGAAGAATTCATTTGGTTATAGATATTGAAAGCAATTCTTAAGTTCATGATTCGAGATTGATTGGGTAGGAGTCCGATATTAAAATGGACAATTGTTGAACTCTGAACATCAAAAGTATACTCTCTTTGAGAACACATAAAATCGGACAATGAATAATAATACTATTTTATAACACTGTCATCAGTGGCTTAGCCACATAGTAAGAACGGTGACTGGACACCCTTCCGTCGAAAAAAAATATATATAGAAGTAAAATAATATAAGAAATGATTAAATAACATATTTTGGATATCCTTAACATAACAAGTTATTATTTTAAACACCGTTAATATAACAAGTTGCTGACAGTCATCCTCGCTAACTTCAAATTTGTTTAAAATAATATTACAAATTTTAAAGACGGAAAAATGGCCTTAAATACCCTTAAAGTATTAGAAATGGTACAAAAATTATCCTTCATCTACCTATTGGCTCCAAAATACCCTTATCACCCACCTATTGGATCTAAAATACCCTTGTCATCCACCTTTTGGTTCAAAATTGACCACTTATTTAACGATTTTATATTTAAATATTTTTTTAAATACGTGGCGCTCAACTATTTATTATAATTTAACTTATTAATATAATTTATAAATCAATTCACTACCCACACATTACTAATTAAACCCCTCTAAATTAATAAATCCGTCACATTATTAATGCAACAACATATTAGCTACTACCAATTGAGTGTTTTTTTGTTTTTAAAAATTTGAGGCAAAAATATCTATAGAAGTAAATTATCATACATTCAAGTATCTAAATAAAATTACCGATAAACTTAAAAGTCTGCCTATGTTTATCTTAATTATTCTTACATCTCAATTATGTGATGTTACTTTATAGGTAACTTTTTTAAAAAATAATATATTAAAGGTTTTAAAACAAATAATAAATATTTATAAAATTATATTTTTAAAAAATGCATGAATTAATTCGGGATGTATTACTTCTTTACCGTCAATCATAGATTTCTCATTCAATCTTGAAAGAAAGTGTCCTCCTAAATAAGCGGCTCAACCTAAATTTAATTGAGGCTTCAATTCGGACTCGAATAATTTTGAATGTTATTTTCAGAAATATATAATTTCATCGTGTTTTAGTAGTGTTTATGATGATTTTGATATTATAATTGGATTATTAATTGGGTGAGGTTTAGTTAGTAATTAGTGGGTAGTGGGTTGATTTATAAATTATATTAATAAATTAAATTATAATCAATAGTTGAACGTCAACAATTTTAAAAAATATTTAAAGAGTTTAATTTTAAAACAATTAAAAAAGTGGTCAATTTTGAATCCAAAAGTAGATGACAAGGGTATTTTGAAGCTAATAAGTGGATGAAAAGGACATTTTGGAGTCAATAGATGAACGAAGGGTAATTTTGTACCATTTCCAATACTTTAAGGATATTTTAGGCCCTTTTCCGTTTTAAAGAAAATTCGGTGAATTATAATTTTTTTTATTTCTCTCCATCCTTATTTGCACGGTTATCGTCATCTGACACTTGATGATCATTAGTTAAATTGTCTCCATCCGACTCATATCAGCTGCCTATTAGAATGTTTTGTGTACAAAATGTCTGCTTTTTAACTCTCATTGTGACATAAATCTATTTCCAATTCATTTATTGATAATATACTACTACTTTTTCAATTAATGATTTTGTTTGTTGTTGTATATGAGTACATGTGTATATTTTATGGCACCAAAAACAGTAACAGAGAAAATGATCCGTTCCTAACTCAGGAGTTGGGACTAATATAATTCTGCATGTAAGATAAAACTAAATCATATGACATGTACTCTATAGGCCCTGTTTTAATTGATTAAAAACTCTTCTTTCTTTGAAAATATGTTCGATCATAAAATTTTGAAATATATTATGAAGTTTGTTTCGTATTTTTCTCTCCTACTATTCATAAAAATTCGAAAACAGCCTCCAATAGCCATAAGATTTACAAAATAATGTTTGTCACTTCGAAAACATTTTCTTTTTCAGTACTCACAATTTCATGACCAAACGCCGCCCCTATGTGTGCTCACATGGGTGTAAGCTATTATACAGGAGGGCTTATTTTTATTAAGAGAAATGGTCAATATGCCTTTTGAAGTACGTGAAATCATCTCAGATGTGTCCCTATTCCCTAGCCTCAAATGGAGCTCAAACAATCAACAACTTCACCAACAAATTAATTATCCACCTCTATCAAAACTTCATCACACAACTCAAATAATTGTTGGTTTTTTGGCCAAAAAAAGGAGGGGAGGAGGGAAAAGAACCATAATGGAAGCCTATCCTTATTGTGGTCCAATGCATTTCCACAGCAATTTTGAGGGCACGATGTCGAAGAATCTCTTAAATTATACAGTTGAAATTTCTATGGACTATGCGCAACTGTACCTAGTTGTTAAAGACAAATCAAGGTCAACTATGACAATATGACATTTCACCCCTAACCACGACTTAACCAATGATTCTTGGGAATTCTCTTGATATATTTGAATTAACAGCGAGAAGCTCGACTGAAGTTGATTTCACTGAAAACTACTTGTTAAAAAGGATGATAAGACAAAAATAAAGCTTTATTATTCCCAAAAACAGATTGTTGCGTTTCACTTCTGTTGTATTTGATATGTGAAGTACACAATAACAATTCAAAAGCTTTAGTTACACCACTAAGAGAACCTCTTAATGGAAAACATCAAGATGGAAACCAAATTGAAAAAAAAGAAACCTCTTTAACCCCCAGAACCACAGTAAATTAAAGATGGAACTTTTAAAACACCAATATAAAAGTTGTTTGTTGCCAATAAGAAGAGAACCTCTTAATGGAAAATCATAATACTAGCAAGGAAATTATGATAATCAGCTTCTCCCAATAAAAACAACTAGGGGAGAAGTGAAAAGCAAATTAGAGGGTTTCAATTCCCCTCAATTTTTTTCTTCAGGTTTGGGATCTTCCTTGATTTCATCAGCACCATCATCCTGCAAACCAAAAGTAGATAGAATTATGAACAACATTAACACCGCAAACACCCCTTGTCAAGAAAACAAACATGATCATGATTATTACCTGCATATCGGAGGTCCAGAGAGTGAGATTGTCACGAAGAAGTTGCATGATCAAAGTGCTATCCTTGTAAGACTCCTCTCCCAATGTATCCAACTCAGCAATTGCTTCATCAAAGGCCTGTTTCATAGGAAGAACATGGGGTATCAAAAGAAAGACACTTTTTTCTGCAGCTGAGATGCATATGAGAGAACAAAAGGAGTCGACAAATCTAAGATAACCTACAAATCTAAGATAACCTGGAAGTTAAAAACATCTGATCGATATGGAGATTGCCTTACCTGTTTGGCAAGATTGCAAGCGCGGTCAGGAGAGTTCAAGATCTCATAATAAAACACAGAGAAGTTGAGAGCCAGTCCAAGTCGGATGGGATGTGTTGGGGCAAGTTCAGCAGATGCGATATCCTACAAGCATCGTAGAAAATGAGAAAAACTGAACATAAACAAAACAAGATTGTTCATACCATAACCAAGAAGTCATGGCTAATCATGCCACAACTTTCATACAACTCTTATATATAAGAATGACCTTCCAATTATATTGAAGGGATATAGCTACCAAGAGCCAGAAACACATAAATTAATAACCCAAGTCTACATAGACGAGAAAATCCATCACCACATATCCCAGATAACATCAATTAACATATAGTGCGAGCAAAAAAAACATTAAGAGCTGAAATGTTATAAATATCCACACAAGTACACTGCAGTTGTGAATCAGCAAAAGGTCAACTAGTCATCACGGAGGAGCATTTCAATACATTATGTTGTTCCTTCGTTAATTAACCCCAAATATATATTTTTCTTAAAATATGATCTTGCCAGAAAAATATTATTATGGAAAAAGTTTCATAAATAGAAGATCTGCTGAGAATTATACAAATTAGGAGGCTCAAATCTGCAGCAAACAGATCCGTAAAATCTAATCAAATCGATAAAGTGATCAAACATTATCTCAATTAAGGAAATTAAAAAACAAACCTGAGCAGCTTTGTAGGCTGTGAGAGTACTCTCAGCGGCCTCCTTACGTTCAGCACCGGTCTTGAACTCAGCCAAATAGCGGTGGTAATCTCCTTTCATTTTCAGGTAAAAAACCTTGGAATCACCAGATGTTGCTGAAGGAATAAGCTTAGAATCAAGCAATTTGAGAATGCCATCACAGATCTTAGAGAGCTCATTCTCAATCTTAGATCTGTACTCGCGGATAGAGTTAACATGTTCCTCATTTCCTCTAGACTCTTCCTTTTGCTCGATCGATGAAATGATACGCCATGATGCCCTACGCGCTCCGATCACATTCTTATACGCGACGGAGAGAAGGTTTCTCTCCTCCACGGTTAGTTCTTCCGAGCCAAGGGAGTTGGAGACCTTCTCCATGAATTCCACCATCTCTTCATACCTCTCGGCCTGCTCCGCCAGCTTTGCCATGTACACGTTCTCCTCACGCGCCGTCGGTGCCACCGCCATGTTTAGATTTTTTTCCTTCTGTGTGCTCGGAAATAATTATTTTGAGATCTGAATGAAATGAGAGAGTTTTTCGATTTTCTGAATTGAATTTAAAATTGAGAGAAAGAGGGCTTTTTTTGAATCGAGAGGAGTAGAGAGATTTTAGGATTTTGTTTTTTCTTTTATTTCTAGAGTGAATCTAGACCGTTGATTATGTAAAGTGATTGACAGCAGGGATTTGAGCTGTATTTAAAGGCGTAAGTGGGGCTGATTTGGGCCCAGGTCAGTTGTTCTTGGGCCATAATTGGGCTTACATTGATTATCACGTCTGGCCCATTGTTTTTACCACCATTTGTAACATTTAGCTTTTGTTGCTTTTAACAACTTTTTTTAAAAACAAACAAAATTGTGTGTTGCTTTTAACTACACTTTGTCTATAAAATTTATTCTTTTTTCAAAAAAAAAATAAAAAATTCACATTATTTAAAAGTTCATGTTTGGTGATGAAATTCAATTTGAAAAACAATTTATATATTAATGTAATTCTAGAAATTACTACAAGGAATATAATCAAACATAACTCAATTTTAACATCGACTTCATAAATAGATCTTGTATGTTCCAAAAGTTATCCTAGAAATCTGATTCTAAAGTTTGAATTGAAAAAAAAAAGGAAAAAGAAAAAAGTAATAGATACTATTACTAACTTTCAAGAATAGTATTAGTGAAGTTTGAGACGAAATTCTAATTTATTCAGCGGGAATATTGAGGACATGGAACAAAACTTTTGTTTCTAAGTGGTCAAGTTTGCCTACCCTCAATGTTATCGACATTTTCTCGATAAATATTTATTCATATTGAATATTTATATCATATTCATATCCATGTGCCTCCAACTTTATTGGCTTAGAGCTATACAAAAAAAATAATCAAAGGGAATGAAGAAAGATATGGGGAATGTTAGTGTCCCTGAAACGTGCCTATTCGTGCATAAAATTACGTTGACTTAAATATAAAAATATTTCTCAATTTAACAATCTGCGCAAGTAAACGCTTAAACTATAAAGATAATTTTGAAAACCTCATTCAATATAAGAATTCATCTGTATTTTAATATATTATATTATATAATATTAGTTAAGTGAGAATCATATAGTATATAGGAAATTATGCTTTTCATATTTTAATATTAGAAGGAGAAAAAAAGTGGAGTGGGGTCAAATGGGAAGGTCCCCGCCATTATAGGCGAATGTAGCGGGTGATGGGCATGGACGGTGCGAGTTTGTTCGGTCCACTACATGCGGTTTCTATATTTTTATGAATTTTAATATGTATCGGATTGTCTATCTTTTATTATTATTTTTAAAATATTTATAATAAGAATATGAGATATTTTAGGTATAGATTTAAAACTTTTTAAAGTTTAAATTGTTTATCAATTTTTTTAATTATGTATCTAGAAGTCCAATCATACTTGATTGTCTAAATGAATTCGATCATTTATAGCAATTTTTGATACACTGCCAACCCTTTAAAAAAAGGAAGGAAGAAGTATAAAGCTATAAATAAAGTGTACTTCCCAATTTAATCATTAGACAAGATGCCTAGGAAAGAATGAGGCTTATTGCTTTTGAACGTACGACTCATATTGAGGATAGTCATATGAAGTTAATCAAGACTCTCCAATCGGGGCGGAGCGATATGTAAGTTAAGGATTCATCCGAATTTTCTTTGATAAAAATTACACCGTATATATAAGGAAAATTTTCTGTATTTATGTGAATAGATATATTTTGAACTCTGTCATTGACAAGGAAAACGAGATAGCGGCAGATTCTCTTGCAACTATGTCGGACGTCCACAATTTGAATCTCTTGCCTAACATTTGACTTTTTTACTTTTTTCTTTTTTACGTTTTTATATATATAAAACCTGCTAAAAGTGTGATTTTAAATTCAAAAGAATTCAAGGGTCGCATTTCTTGAAAAAAAAAATTATTAGCTTATTTACACGTTTATACTTTTATTTTTCAAACTTCCTGAATAAAAATTCTAGATCAACCAGTCAATGTTCGACACAAAATAATTGTATGCCTATCGTATTAGTATATGTTCAAATGTTCATTGAAAAAAATTCGGAAGTAGCAAAGATAATTGACGCTTTATAGCTACAGTTTAGATAATTATGCTCAATAGGTAGTTATATTTGTTATGGAGGTTGCAACTTGTATATTTTGCTTGCCGGTTTGTATACTTAACTTGAAAATATACAAACATGATAAATATATACAAATGGAGATTGCGGTTTATACATTTTACTTTCACTATTCGTTTGTATTTTTTGCTTGCGATTATACAAACAAGGTAAGTATGCATTAATTGTGTATTTATACGTTATTTTCTCAAAGCTCCATTTATATATTTCGCTTGCTAATAAACAAACAAGGAAAATTTATTATGAAATTATCATACCTCGTATACAAATAGCTAGGATAAGCATATACAAATTATGGATTAATACAATCAGGGTCTGAATCATACAAATTCTTGATTTAAACAATCAAGATATCGAATAACAAAATTATGTGAAATTTTAGTTGAAGACTACAAATAATCAAAACCATAACTATATTACATAATATACTTTAGATGTTTGTCATTTCGCGTAATTTTTACTCGTTAGTTTCCTAATTCAAGCTGTCCATTATAATGGGCCTCCTCCATTGTTTTTGGTGGTCTGACCCATATTTTAGAGGGTCTCATTTAGGTCCTAAATTGTAGCTCATCCATTCCAATTATTATTGTTTACTCTAATTTTCAGTACATCTAACAAAAAAGTCATTTTTCATTTAAATAGTTTTTTAGTCTCAACTTTACACAAGAAAAAGTTGCGACCGTAATGAATTTACACTAGCTTCATATGTGGTTAACAATTTTAGCGTTCTTTTACGTGGATATATAATGATATCTATTGACATATATGTCATGTATCGTTTGTATATCATGTATATTTCATTAGATGTACAGTAATTCATATGACATATAATTGACATATGCACAAGATAAATATGATATATAATTACATACATATGGTATTTAATAATTTTACCACTAAATCACCACCCAAAAAAATCACAACCATCCATATAATTTACCTTATACAATTACTATTCAAACTATTATAACGGTAGGAAATAGCAGAAGAAAATATATTAGAGAAATTTTCGATTAGTTCAAGATTGTTAAGTAGAATTAAAAGAAGGAAAACTATAAAGGAGAATGATAATTTTTTTTATCTTATTTGAGTCGATTACAAATGACTAATTATCTAAAATTGTGTTCCAATTTGATCGAAAAGAAAGAAAATTAGAAAGGAGAATGATAATTTATTTTATTTTATTTGGATCAATTACAAATGACTAATTATCTAAAATTGTATTCCAGTTTGATCAAAGAGCCCACATTAAAAGGAGCAGGACCAACTTGAACAACTCTAATCAATTTGTCCAATCTAATCACAACTAGTGGCAACTTTTTCTGCAAATCTTACAGACGTGACCAGACTTTTCTTCTCCTTTTTTACATATAAAAATATGTAATCTGGACTAAGCTTTTGATTCCTATGGGTAAATTCTTATTGAAATTCACCAATTAAAGATAAAAAGTAAAAATTCTTCCAACCCACTTGAGCTAATTATTGACGACAATAGTTGAACAAACGTAGTACCTGCCAAGAATATGTGTCCAATAAACTCTCAGTTAGTAAACCTATGAATATTTTGAACCCCTTTTGCTTTTACTGTTGAAAATTGTCAATTCTGTAAGTCAATAACAGTAGTGGAGAAAAAAAGTTTGATTCTTTCTGAAGAATCTGAAACCCCTTTTGTTTCTTGATGATGGAGCGTTATGAGATAGTGAAGGAGTTGGGTTCTGGTAATTTTGGAGTAGCAAAGCTTGTTTGTGATAAGAACACTAAAGAACTCTTTGCTGTTAAGTTTATTGAAAGAGGCCAAAAGGTTTCACCTTTTATCAACTTAAATTTGATGTCTTTAATCCATCTACGGTATTTTAGTTGTATATTTATTTGTTTTGATGTTTTGAGGTTGTTTGTAGATAGATGAACATGTGCAAAGGGAAATTATGAATCATAGATCATTGAAACATCCAAATATAGTGAGGTTTAAAGAGGTATGCTCTGCTTTTTTCTGCTAGAAAGAATCTTCCTTTTTCTTTATTCTTATAATCTGCTTTGATACCTGTTGAGATTCTGGTTATTGCTGTCATTAGGCTTATAAGGAACTTTCATTAAGTTAAAGATTTCTTTTTTTGATATGGAGATAGCTTCACATAATGATATGATGAAAAATGTTAATGGGTTTAATTACTGAACAGAAGATCTGGTTGGTAATGTAATGACAGTGACAAGATTTTTATTGTTATGTGCCAATTGTCCCTCATGGGATAAAAGAGAAATGAGAAATGCTAATGAGTGTATAGGCGAAATGGGCTCCCCACCTATCAGATTAGTCTTTTTGGTTGGCCTCTCCTGTTTGATCTATAACAATTATGTTATGTTGTGATTTCTTTTTGAAGGACTCTGCTGCTCGCAATTAAATGCAATCTTCGGTATCTTATGTATTGGATTGAAAGGAATCAACTTTTCTGGACAGTATCTGTAATTTGATGATTTGCATATTATATTTTGTGTTTGATGATAGCAATTTACAATTAGTGGGATTACAGTGGCTGTCCAAAGTAGTAGCGAAATGGCTAACAGACTTGTCAATTTTGTTTATAGTTTTTTTTTTTCATGAATGGACTTGACACTTCCAGGTCTTGCTTACACCTACTCATCTAGCAATAGTAATGGAGTATGCTGCGGGAGGAGAGCTCTTTGCGAGGATCTGTAATGCTGGAAGATTTAATGAAGATGAGGTAAGGATGATACTTACTCCAGATCCTGCAATTAGTCTTGGCTTAGAACAAACAAACTGTGTATTTTTCATTTGATTTTATAACCTGTGCTTATGATAGAGAGATCTATGTTGCCTCTTTACTTGGTTGGGTTGGGTAATATGCCTTTTATACTCATGGTAAAGTAGAAGTCTACCATGACATTCATATGGTCCTTTGATGT